TCTAATGTGATGACAGAGTAGAACAAAGACAGAAATTACAGCAAAATTATTTTAGGTGTAGCATTCTGGTAGCATAATTATAGATGGCCACAATAATATGACAGCAGCAACTTGCCCTCACAATCTAGAAAGTACCACGTTATGAAAACTTTTAAGGATGATAAGCATTACTCTTCAATGTCAAAAGAAAAGCATCTTCAGTAGCATTTTTAGAAACAGTAAATAAGTGGTATAAAGAACAGGCAGATACCATCAATGAAATATTTAAACAACTGCAGATTTAAGCAGCAGAAACAGTGCTGCATTTTTGTTTGCTTATTTATTCATTCTCACAAAGGATTTGGGGATGTAAGGAACAGTATGCTATTAGAGGTTTCTCAAACCCTCCCATGTGTGATGCCGTACTCCAGCACATGCTGGGCTGTGGCAGATATGAAGAAGAGTTAGTGGAAGAAGCAAGTGAATAGCCTGCATTTTCAGAAGCATGATTTATATTGGTGACAATATTGACACATGAATTCTGTTAGGACATCAATAAAGTTGACACATTTTTAATTCTGATGAAAATAACCTGAGGCATTCTGTGGCTGCACTGAAGAATCTTATTGGTTACAAAAACACATCAGACCCTTTCAAGATACAAGCCTTCACACGTTTTGCCCTGGAATCATGCTTCCCTCTAGACAAATGTCTTCGTTGCACAAAATGCCGCTTGTCATCTATACCTAGCCCAAATGTTACTTCCTCTGTGAAGACTTCCTGACTGGATGAGGTTCAACTAGATGCTCTCTCTGAAGCATGTTGGAAGAAAAAGGAATAAATGAACCCATAATTTAGGGGTTCTCATTTAAAAACATATTTCTGTAAATACATATGTTCTCCAGTAGAACAGATATCATGTTCATTATGTTTGGTACCTAGAATGTTGTTAGTGTTCAACAAATATTCTTGAATGAATGAACAAATGAATGAATGAATGAATGAATGAATGAAATAATGTAGCAACTTAAGAGACAGTATAATGTGTAAAAGAAACATCTTGCTAAGTTTCAGTAGGGCTTATTTCTCTATTGGACAGGTATATTTTTGTGATGCTAATTTACCAAATCATGTATGACCTGAAAGTTATGAGACTGAATGCTTTAGTAACTATGAAATACCCATTCATTCATTTATGAAATTTGCTACTCTGTAAATAAACAGATTCCTGGGTCATAAAAACTTCAACATCTAAAAGGCACCCAACTTTCTAATTCACTTGAGTAATAACAACTGAAACTTGAAATGAGTACATTTCCATAAATAAGTTTTTAATATAAATTATCTTTTACAAGGAAAAATACCATAGTCATTTCTGTAACACAACAAAGTTTTCCATTTTCTGTGTGTTGGTGAAGGGAGAGCTTGAGGGTGGTCTCAGCAAATTAGTAATTTAGAGAATAACTATTGTAATAACCCAGTCTTCCTAAATTGACCTCAAACAGTTGGTTTTACTAGCTCTATATAAAGTGTTCATTCACTTTGCAGATTTCAAAAGCTGTTTCCTACAGAGTTTGAAATGGTACATTTTTCAAGATATCCCTAGGGAACGCAATTAGTATTTAGAGAAGAAATTGGTTTGATATACATAAGTTTTGCATGAGGATATGATGTCAATCAGTCTGGCATTTTTCTTTTAAAAGTATCCTTTTATTATTAACTAAATGGAATGTCACATTTGATGTCAGTAATCAACACCTCAGTCCATCTAAAAACCAGCATATCTTGAGTGGATGGAAAAAAAAAAACACTTTAAGCACATTAATACATATATTCTTTTTTGACATGAAGTGGCAAAATATAAACTGACACGTATAGTCATAAGTATATATACTGACTAACATAAAGATTAGACTTTGGATACAATGAAAATGATGTATTTTAGTATTTCATTTAGGAGAATTCAAGATTTTATATCCCTAAAATTTTAACTTAACCATTTGAAAGTTAAAGAAAATGCAAAAGACAGATGCATGACATCAAGTCAAATGCCTATTGAGTTCTCATTTAAATAAAATAATGAATAGTGGAAAGAATTTAAGATTAGAAGTGAGGAGCCTAGAGACTTGCTTAGTCATCTTAACTAGTTGTATAACCTTAGGCAAAACCACTTAACTTCTCAGGGTCTCAGTTTTCTTATCTGTAAAATGTAGCAGCTATTTTATTATTTGAAGTGGATAAACTCTACAGCCTTGTCTCGCTCAAAAATTTTAATATTACTTTGGAAACAGTCCCTCCAATTATCCATATGGCCGCAATTTCTTCTATGTAGATATAAATTGTATATTTCACCACAGGAAAATTATGATGGAATAGCTTAAAGGCCCTACAGAAGTTGTTTACGATGTTAATTACACTTGCAGAAAAGAACCACACAAATGGTATCACTTTAAAGCCATAAAGATTACTAAATGTATAATAGCATAGACATGTGGAAGAAAAACTCAACTATTGTAGGAGAGAAGACTAGGCATCCAGACTCTAGCTAAATTTGTTTTAAGCCGTTTTATGAAGTAAAACACAATTAAAAGTATTTCACCCAGGGAGAAAGCTATTGAAGTCAGGGTCACTGGTTCAATTCCCAAGTGAGCCATTAACTTTTGTTTCATTCCATTGTCACAGACTCACTAACCTCTTAACCCCAACTCACCATCTTTCAAATTCATAAAAGTGGTTACAGAGGAAATTTGGCGAGACTGTTTGGATACGTAAGCAAAAATCTATCCCCTCGCTAGAAAAATAATTCAAAGGTCAAGCCCCAGTGATATGACATCATCCAAGTATTGACAGATCAGATTATCCTTAGGATGATTATTACTGTTATTATCACCATCACTATTATGGTGGCAGCATTGCATCGTAGTTAAAAGAGCCAGCTCTAGAATTAGACTGGGTTTGAATCTGCATTGTCCCACTTACCAGCTTGACAAATTGGACAAGTTATTTAACTCTTCGAGCATTATTTTCCTCATTTTCAAAATAGTTGTTATAATAGCACTTTGTAGGGTAATTGTGAGGAACGAGTGGGTTAATCCATGTGGAAAATCCCTGAAACATTAACTACTAAGTAAATGCTATTATTATCTTTCAGTTGTCTTGGTCACGTTGACTGGTTGGCACTTGCCGAAAAGTGTCTGTAGTGGCTTCCTCCAGCTGCTAGGAGCAAACTGGATGACATAAAACAATAGAAGTGTATTCTCTCACAGTTCTGGAGGCTGAAAGTCCAAAATCAAGGTGTTGTCAGGGTCATGCTCCCTTCAGTCTCTGGAGAAAAGTTGTTTCTTGCCTGTTCCAACTTCTGGCGGCCAGTTGTTGCTTGGCTTGTGATGCTATAATTTCAATCTCTGGCCCTGTCTTCACATGGCTGTCTTCTCCCTCTGTGTGTCTCTGCATCAAAATTTTCCTCTGTTTTTATAAAGACATCAGTCCATTGCATTTAGGGCTTTCCTGAACCTAGTATGACCTCAACTTGACTATATCTGCAAAATCCCTATTTCCAAATAAGTTCACGTTCACAGGTACCAGGGGTTGGGACATAAACATATCATTTGTTGGTGGGGGGAGGCACACAATTCAACCCATTACAGCATACAAAGCAGAAAAATAGAAAGAAAATAAAGCACAAGAAGAAAGGGTAAAGCAAACAAATGTAGAAAATCTGATGCTAGTACTTATTTGGGGGAAATAGGTAAATAGCCTCAAAGAAATCGCTGAGTCCTTACCTATCACTACAACAGAGAAACACCTTACATGTGGCTGAGGCAGAGCCCAGCAAAATATCTTTGGACCATGAGTGAGAAACAAGATGACTTCAACAAGCAGTAGAGGCAGACTTCAACATAGGTGGTAGCAAAATGCTGTGAGAATCCTGACAATTATTTGGCACAATCCTGCAAATGGCATCCTCCCTTTGTCAAGCCTGATCAGTTGTGACTTATCGAGACACGGTCCATGGGCCCTGCATTGGATGCAAGGTAACTTGGATGACATCATAAACCCAAAGAAGGTGATGATGATCTGAGGCCAGCATTTGCACTGAGTACTGGATGTCCCCAGGGATAGTGATGTGTTGTGCAACATGTTTTAAGCAAATTTCATGGACTAAACAATTGTCCACACAAAGTCTGACTGTGTCTATAAATAATATTTTCCTATCTGGGCAGTTTTGAACCAAATGAAGAAAGCATGATAGTCTTCTGCCTCAAAGAGCCAAAAAGGATTAAAAAAACTGATGGCTTTACTCTATCGTTGATTTAATACATGACTTGGAAAGTCCTCATCATATCACATCACCATGTCCAGCTTTCTCTTTCTGCAAAGCAATATTCAGTTTCCACTGTATTGACTCAAGTAAATATGTTCACATGATGGCAAAATGCAGCTCGCTGTAGCAAAATTCTCGGCGGGAGAACGTTGTACCCTTGGTCACAGTTACGATTTAATTTAGGGGTTTATCTGTCTTCCAAAGAGATTATAGGAAGGAAGGATAGGTGTAGGAAGAAAATGGTGATGAGGGATTCTGATATTTGAAAATGGATGAGTTTCCCAAAAGAAGAGCATAAAACTGTCTGGATAAAATACAGATAGAACACTGGCAGGTTGCCAGATTTGTAATTGCATCTTGAATTGAGCTGTAATCCTTACCACTTCCGAAAACAATAAGAGTGAGAAAACGATAAACCACATTTGTTTTACATAGCGGGTATTTGCTTTAGCATTCCTAATAAAATATTTTCCCTGACACTTTGGTGAAGGCTCCAGAGCCACAAAAATAGTTATATGTTTTTTTGTGTAAGGAGGAAAAAGAAGATAATTCTCTTTTGTAGGGGGAAACAGAAAATTGTGGATTTTGAAGGGATTAAAAAGGGAAATCCTGTATTTTGTAAGGAAAAAGAAATGTGTGTGTTTTGTCTTCTGTAAAAGAGAAACTGATAATGACTTTTTAAAAAACGACCTTTCAGGTTTACAACGTACGAGTATAAGGTGTTTGTACACAACAGCGAGGGTTTCTCACCGAGCGAAGGAGCTACCGTGACAACATTAGCTGGTCTTCCAGAGAGGGGAGCCAATCTCACCGTAACTGTTGTTAACCACACGGCCATAGATGTGACATGGGCTAAACCAAGTAAGTAAGCTTCCCATGTCTTTAGTTCCCCTTAGCGTATTATACCAAAATGAATTTTATATGGATGCATGAAAAACAACAACAACAACAATGGAAAGCTGAGATGCTTGTGTATTCTTCAAAGTCAGACTCTCTCCCTACTTGACGTCTTTCCTGGGCCTTCTCTCTCTCTTCCATTCCTTTTGGTTGGGGATGTAGTTTCTGTCACACCAGCCAGTTGTACTAGAAATGTCCGTGTATTAATTTGATAGAATGTAATACTGTGCACTTTCCCACAGAAAGCTCTGCCCCCCATCTTGTAACTCAGCACTTATTAGCAAGAACCATTGATTAGGATGCAGTCATGTGAGGGATTTTTCTGAGTGAATCATCTTCAATGCTGGGGTAGACAGAATTCCAGCTTGACACAGGAAAATGGAGCCTGGACATCACCACTGGGCTTGCTTCAATAATGCAGGGGGCTCGCCCTGACCCCATTCAGAACATACTTTTGTGGGTAGTTAGAAGAGCTCACAGATGGATCTAATCTTCTCCTGCAACTTTAGAAACAAAAAACTGAAATTTCAGATCTCGTTGGTCAGCAGAGTAGCGTTTAACAGCAGAACTATTATTTTGTAGTGATCCATTATCAGAATTAGAAAACAACACTGGATTTATCATGGAAATATATGCTGTAACCATTCTTAGAAGTACCACTTGAGATCTGGCTAATAGTTGAATTAAAACTTGCTAGAATATTACCAAATATTGAGAAATATCTGATTCAGAAATCCCCAAGTAAAATGTTTGTCTTATGAAAGAAAACTGTACCTGCTAGAGTAATCATCTACAGTCATGTAGAAAGATGAAAAACTACCCTTGGCTGGGGAATAGTAACCATGTGATTTTCATCCAGCCTTTGAGTTTTGTTACAACCTAAGACATGCTTCCTGTTCCATTTAGAACATCTGAGTGAATTTGCCTCCGTGTTGTATTTTATCAATTGCGAATTAAAACCAGGATTAGGTGAGATTAACAGTAAATTAAAATCTGTACCGGCTCTGTTGATATATGTTGCCACTAAATAACCCATTTTTACAGAAGACTATCATCCTAGGGTTTTTATAAGGTTGCAGGTTTCTAATAATCTGTGTCACCTCTATTGGGATCTCTTAAGCCATTTAAATGGAAGAATGGAAGTTAATTGATGCTTATGATTACACTCTGCGACACCTCTGGGAAAAATACAAAGTTTTTACCTGGAGATGGATTTTTATGTATAATATATTTTCACTCATCTCTCTCTTTCCTCTCTACTTTACCCTCACCACCTGATTCATCTTAAAAGCCTGCTCATAAAGGTGGATGTCCTCCCCCTCATCTGACATTTGAATACTGCTCTTAAGATCCAGCTGCTGAATTTTCGCCAATATAGGTCCTTTACATTATCATTGCATGCCTGAAGTAAGCGTGCTTATAAAAACTGACAAACTTAGATTTGCAGCATCTCGCTGAAGTTTCATTACCTTGGTAATCTGAACCTCTGACCTTCGGGATGTAGGTAATACAATCTGCTGTTATTTCCATTCATACCTTAGAAATATTTCAGATAACTATTTGTGAGCACAAAGGTTAACTCTCAGAAGAGGGTCAACTCTCCGAAAGCTTGTCGCATTATCATTTTCTTCTTTCGTGCAACCTGCTAGCGTTAAGTAAATTAACTAGTTACTCCTCTGTGATAGGGCCACCTATTTTTTGCTATTTTAATTTAGGTTGTTTCCTTGACTTCCGGGATACGTTTGGCACATTGTTGAACATGCTAGAAGGCACAAAACTGTAGGATGAAAGTCAGTTGGGTACATTTATAAATATTTACTTATTAAAAATTGCCTTTCAAAAAAACATAGAATGTATTTAAAAAAAAAAAACACATATTCTCTCTTAACTATGACCTCCCCATGGATACACCATTTTGACAGATGCATATTTCTGGTAAATTTTTACTAACCACAGATTAACAGGAATGTTACTGAACATTTTAGAAGCACCCATTTTAAATTTTGCATCGCTGTGTGATGTCATGGGAGGTAAAAGCCTCCCTGCATTCCTTCAGTTCATTTTTAGGGTTCATATTGTAAACTGGCAGCACACGGACCACGTTTACTTCCTCCATCCCCCCTACACTGTTTTGCCTATGGTATTTTTCTTAAAGAATATTTTGCCAACATTTAACAATCAGAAGATTTCACATAAAGATGATGACTCGGGGATTGATTTGAAAAATCAAATGATTGAGTGAAACTACTCCCACATTGCAGGAGGAATATTATCAGTGGGCGCTGAGTAATGACTTCCTCTAGACAGGTCACACACTTCTATCTTCCTGGTCCCTATACAGATATGAGGTTCTTATCCCTGTTAAATATAATAAAAGAGAATATTTCAGCCTAAGTGAAACACCATGAAGATAAATTATATTAGTGAAAACAATCACATTTTTATAAAAAGGGATACAAAAATACCTTCACTTCAGTTATTCATACAATTCTCAGAAAAGCCCTGTGAGATAGAAACTGGCACTTTGTGACTCACTCAACATTACACCGAGGAAGCAGAACTTCCCAAACTCAAACTAAGGGCTGAGACATTGAATTTTCAGCTGTTTCTCATGCATTTAGCCTTAATGGTTATTAACACTTCGTTGAGTGATTTATTAAGATCCTCCCCATTTTGAATGCTCACTCTAAAATCAACAGCCTCAGGGGACCTGCGTGGCACAGTCAGTTGACCATCCAACTCTTGGTTTCAGCTCAAGTCTTGATCTCAGGGTCCTGAGATAGAGCCCCCCCCACATTGGGCTCTACGCTCAGCACGAAGTCTGCTTGAGATTCTCTCTCTCCCTCTGTCCCTGCCTGCTCTCTCTCTCAAATAAACAAATCTCTCTCTCTAAAATAAATAAATAAAATATTTTAAAATAAATAAATAAATAGCCTAATAAGAAAATGCCCTTGAGGGAATGCAGTGGAAAGGCAACACCTCTCCTGAGGTTGCCTCACTAACAAGATCATCCATGGCCAGAACAAAGCAAGAAAACCCTGGAGGTAGTGAGAGAGGAAGGTACTGAAGAAGGGGAAATGAAAAATCATCCAAACGCTCTTCACTTTACCATCATCAAGACCTCCCCCCAGCCTTTAGATGTTCGCATCTTGTGTCACATCTTCCTCCCTCTCTCTTCTCCTTCCTCTTTTTCTCCTGTCTCCCCTCTTTCTCTCTTTCTCTTCTACCTCTCTCTCTCTATTTCCTCTCCTTCCTTTCTCCCACAGATATTTATTTATGACTTTATTTGTCCTGGGCACTGTTACTACAGTGATGAATGACATAACTCCTGCATTATAATATCTCAGTGAACTCTCTGGAAAAGTCATAAAGTATGAAGGTGTCACCGTTAAGAGAGTAAGTTTAAATCCACACAAAAGGCCTCTACCTCATCTTGATCTCTTAATCAGAAAGCACCAATTTTGTAACTAGAAGAATTTCTGACTTTGTCTGAATTTATCTTGTTTGGGTGGCAATACATATCAATACTTTCCAATGTCAGCCCTTTTAAAAAGCACCCACCATTGTTGGCACACCTTGTTCCTTACTCTTCTTCCCATTACTCCAGTTATCAAAGCAAATAAGCTGTATTTGCCTTTTCCTTGGGCTGTCCTCTTGTTCACTTGTGCATCTGTTGTAGTCTGACCTTCCCTCATACTCTACTGACATGGTCCTCCTGAAGTCCTTCTCACCTCATGACCCAATCCAACCTTCTCTTCTCTATGCCATCCCATTCTGTTTCTCTGCATGGTGGGTCCTGTCATGACCCCTCCTCACTGAAATGCTCCAACCTGTGTCAAACAACTACTCCTTCTCCTTATTCCCTAAATACAGACGTTTCTCAAAGTTCTTTCCTTAGTATCTTTTTCACACTCCAATTCTCCTGTGGGTGATTCCATCTATCTCACTGTTTCAAGTTCTCCTAACTAGAAAAATGACAAAATTCTATGAAGCCTTATGAAGGGATGATTTAAAAAATAAACTTTGGAATCAGGGAAACTTGAGTTTGGATCCCAGTTTCAGTACTTTTTAGCACTATGACTAAAGTAAGCCACTTAACCTCACTAAATCCTAGTTTCCTAATACAACATCCGGGGATAATAATAACTGCTTTAAAATGTTGTGATAGGGATGAAATGAGATAATATATGTTTAGAACATAGTAATCATTTAGTATTGGTATAAAGTATTACTCTGTCTCTAAAATGTTGACTGTTTTCAACAGCAGTTTTACAAAATACAAAAAAAAAAAATTGGGCTGCCATTTCTATTAAAAATTGGGGTATGGTATTCAGATAAAAACATTTCTACAGTGAGTTGAAGATAGACAAAGAATAGATGTCACTTTATAATGACCTGACTTGACTAAAAGGTAGAACTACCAACCATTGAATAGTATCATTTCCCCACCTCCTTCCCCTTGAGGTGGTGGTGTTCCCCATGCCCATCAACTTAGAGACTACACTTACCAGCCTTGGAGTTAGTTGTGGCCTTGTGCCAGTATTTGTGCCAATAAAATGTGAGAAGAAATGATGTATGTCTTTTGGTGTCATGATCACAAAACATTAGCTATGTGCCTTCCTGTTCTCTCTTCATAATTTCCCTGGACTAAAATGTAGACATGGCAGTTTTCTCAGTTTCATCTCTGCAGGCACAGACGACACCCTAAGAGATCCAAAGCCACATAAGAGAAGGAACCTGGGTTGTTGAAATGGAACACCATCTGACTCACTCACTTTGGGGCTAGTATGTGAGATGTAAATTAACATCTATTTTATTTAAGTCACTTTATATCAGGGCTTCTTGGTTACCACAGCTCAGTTAACTCTCTCATTCCCTGTTTGCGCATATCAGTTCACATAAGGGGCAGAAGTTATCTATCCTACTTCCATTGCTAAATATAGAATGATGAGTAATTAACACAT